ATTCAGCTGAAATGTTTCCTTCCTTCTGTAGACGTTACATATTCATCTGAAATGTTTCCTTCCTTCTGTAAACGTTACATATTCATCTAAAATGTTTCCTTTCTTCTGTAAACGTTACATATTCAGCTGAAATGTTTCCTTCCTTCTGTAAACGTTACTTATTCGGCTGAAATGTTTCCTTCCTTCTGTAAACGTTACATATTCGGCTGAAATGTTTCCTTCCTTCTGTAAACGTTACATATTCGGCTGAAATGTTTCCTTCCTTCTGTAAACATTACATATTCGGCTGAAATGTTTCCTTTCTTCTGTAAACGTTACATATTCGGCTGAAATGTTTCCTTCCTTCTGTAAACGTTACATATTCTTCTAAAATGTTTCCTTTCTTCTGTAAACGTTACATATTCAGCTGAAATGTTTCCTTCCTTCTGTAAACGTTACATATTCGGCTGAAATGTTTCCTTTCTTCTCTAAACGTTACATATTCAGGTGAAATGTTTCTTTTCTTCTGTAAATGTTACATATTCAGATGAAATGTTTCCTTTCTTCTGTGAGCGTTACATATTCAGGTGAATGTTTCTATTTTGCATGAAGGCTCGTTCTGACAGTCTGCGTTAAACTTCAGACTTCACACAGACTGAGCGCAGTAAAGAGGGAGAAAAGTAATATTCAGTGCAATCATATTATTTTTGCTGATATATCTGTTATTGGACGTTGATTCTAGGTTTAAAAGTCAACATGTAATTCAAGTATCTTATGATAGTAACTGTAAAGGGATAACAACAGAGTGTGACTGAATATAAAAAGCAATGACAGGAACAGAGTGAACGTGTTCCTGCAGAACATTATTCGCATCTGTTAACACCGAGTTGAGTTAAACTGTCCTTTGTCCATTTGTCAGTTTAAACTGTGCTTTATAGCTCTTTACACTCTTTGTTTGAAGGACAGCATTAGGCAGGATGTGGAACAGTGTGTTTTGTCAAAAAAAAATAAAAAACAATTTTTATCCGATTAATTTAAAAAAATAATCAGCCTACTAATCGATTATTAAAGTAATCGTTAGTTGCAGCCCTGGAGGAGACACTCACCGCTTCAGTCATCGGCCTTCTGTTTTGGGTTTTGAATAAATATGAATTGATTTGCTCCATTTGTAAACCGAAGCTCTTAATTGTAAAATATTCCTCAAAGTTAATATTTCAGTAATTTAACTAAACATTTGCATAGTCAGTTAATGCTCACACAACAAAGACGTGAGCATTTTAGTGACGCATCAAATTAAATGTTTTTAATAAAAGTGATTTTATACACACAGAAATGCATTTACTTATATTAAATGCAATACTTTAATGTTTCAAATAACTTTTGTGCAAATACAATGTCAAATGAAATGAAACAACATGCTTATTCTGACCTGTACTTATTAAAATATATAAAAGAAAAAGTGATCATTATAATGTTTCTCATATTTTAAATGAATAAAACTGAAAAATGAGTAAAACCTAGTGAAGATTTAAAATGGCAATTAATAACTGTTTGGCAGAATATTTTTCTGTGTAATTGTTTCACAGAATTTTTTTTTTTTCTCGGTAAATCGTGGTAAAAATATATTATAGTCATTATTTTATCCTCAGAAAAATAATAACTTAAAAAGAACGCATTCTAATTAAAGATCAAATTAAAGCTGTGCTATATATTTATATATATATATTATTCACTCATTACATATAGAGCTGCACGAATTGGCCAAAAATGTATACAGTATTGAGATTTTGTTGTCATATTGCAATTTGAACTGTGATATTATAAACATTTCTCTTTTTTAGTTATGATAGAGATTCATCACAATTTACGTGACATTCACGCTGTTATTTTAGGAACCCAAACAAAATTAATAATAATTATTGTTATTGCAATGTTATCATTGTTACTGTTGTTATTAGTTTTAGCTCTAATTTATAGAAAATGAAGACAAATACATTAGGCAAGGCAAGGCAAGTTTATTTATATAGCACATTTCATACAGGAATCAAGGAGAAGATCAACAGAGTCTGCAGAAATGCTTGGTGTTAAAGATATAGCCTCCATAAATAGCACACTAGTGTTTTCGTTAATGCATCTCTTTCTGACAGAGACAGATCTAGATTCAGTGGTAACAGAGATCAATATATCAAAGAAAATACAGAAGTGATCAGATAGTGCTACGTCCTTAATAACAATGGATGAAATGTTTAGACCTCTACTGATGATTAAATCTAGAGTAATTACTGAATTGTAAAATGTTTAAATTTACACTACAGGTTAAAATACCAATATTTATGTCTTAAATTCTTCACTTTCAGATGTTACCGTTTTAAACTCGAGCTCTTTCTTTGGTGGAATATTTTTTTGATTGTGTTTGTGTTTTTCGTCAGACGGTGAAGGACGGTATTTCAGAGACTCGCATCGAAAAGAGGATCGTCATCACAGGAGCCGCAGACATCGACCACGATCAGGTACAGCCACGGGTGGGTTAAACAGTTATCTAGTTAGTTAACCAGCAACTCAAAACCTGAATTAAACACGTGATTGTGCCTTTGCTTTGACTGGATGCTTGAGGCCCAAAAACACCAAAAATATGCTAATTAAGGTTAATAAATATGAAAAAATATGCTAATAAAGGTTTGTCTAGCATAAACATATTTTAAAAACATTTCTAAAACAAAACTGCATTAATTGTATGAAGGTTCATCAACCATAAACGTATTTTGAAATATTTCTTAAATAAGGTTTGTCAAGCATAAACATTTTTTATGCATTTCTAAAAAAAACTCTTTTAAGGTTTGTGAAGCATTACATTATTCCATCTATTTAAAGAGACTCTTTTCCGTTGTTATTTATAGAAATGTACATTTTTGCTCAAGTTATTGTTTTAATAGCATGTTATGTGATGATGACAGATTCTTATGACTATAAACTAATCAAATCTGATAATCATTCAGCAGATCTGAACACATTTAATGCACTTTATGATTGCATTACAATCGTGACTTAAATTGTCTAACCTTCAAATCGTGTGCTGATATCAACAGAACATGCTGATTGATTGATTGATTGAGTGGGTGAGTGGGATTGTGTGTGTGTGTGTGTGTGTGTGTGAGAGAGAGAGAGAGAGGGTGAGGGAGTGTGTGTGTGTGTGTGTGTGTGAGAGCGAGAGAGAGAGAGAGAGAGATAGAGAGAGAGCGAGATAGAGAGAGAGCGCGAGAGAGAGCGAGAGAGAGAGAGAGAGCGAGAGAGAG